CTAATTTAGGACTATACATTGTGCAATAGTAATAAAATAAATAAAATAAAATAGTTTTGTTCACGCCCTGAGTTGCCCCGACAAAGGTTGACTGGACTAGGGCCTATGAGTAATCCAATCGACGGGCAACAGAGGACGGGGCCCAAATGGCCTACGGATAATTAACTATAAGGGCTGCTTATAAAAAAAACACTTAACGATCTCCGTAGGTAGGGTTGACCACATGGTACCAGTCGGGTGATAAGTGAGGTGCATGTAAGTAATGTGTAGTGGTGTGTACATGTGTGACCTGACTTAACCGTGGTGATCGGGCAGCGGACTGGTCCGATGCTGCCCCACGATGTGGTATCACTCCAGCGGACTTCACCAATTGGAAACTGCTGACTTCATTTCACTATTTCAGTTTATCAACTTTATTGTACACTATTTCAATCTATCAACTTTATTGTACATTTAATTAACTTCAAACTCAACTAAATCCCCGTTAATCATAATCAAACACGTGATACACGGCACAACTAATGAACGGTTGATCAAAGTTCAACTTCCGTTTTCACTTAGCAACAAATTATTTCTAGAAACCGAACGCGACCTTCTCTCGGGTCAAAAAGTTCCGCGTTCCACACAACATACTAAGGTTCTTTCGTACGATATTAACAGGCCACACAAGCAAATGAAATATTGCAAATGCGCTTCAAAATGCAATCACTATACAAGTTGACGTAAATTACTTGCAAACAAAGGTAAGTTTATTTAATCACTCAACACTTAGATCTTAAAATGACCTCACGAGTCTAGCGAAGAACCGGCGTCCGCGCAAACAATCTATTTTTCTAGACTCAACAAAACTCCTCGTCGTTGCATAAATTTGCTAACAAAAACCGACACTATTTAGAGGTTACACGGTACGCGACCACGCCGTTCTAGTGACTGTGCTGCATTAATAACTTCCGACGCGCCCCGCCCGCAACCAACTCCGGTCTCGCCAAACGTCAAACCGGTCGGAATGCACCGCGCAGAGCGCCCTCTAGCGTCAATTCTTAATATTAGCGTTTGGCGCGAACAAGCCTTTTAATTCCTCATTAATTACATTTAATAAATTTGTAACAAAATCAATTTAGTAATTTTAAGTACATGCATTATTATAAATTTTATTTGTAAAAACATTTAATTTGCTTTTATTTTTGATTAATTTTTTACACAAAACAATTTACATTATCAGTATTTTTTAACAATTTTAAAATAATTAAATGTTATAATTTCATTATCAATTTAGATATAATTAATTTAACATAAATTGATAATCATTTTTTAGAACTTATTTATTAATCTAAGTATATATATAACTTTTTAAATATTAACTTATTATACCTGTTATTTGAGGACCCCTATTTGGGTAAAGGCCTCCTCCAGAGCTTCCCATACCTGTCTATCCTGGGCCTTGTTCATCCAGTTTTTTCCCGCTATAACCATCACCTCGTCTACCCATCTTTCATTTGGTCTGCCTTTTGCACGTGTTCCAGCTGGTCTTTGCCACTATGTCACCGATTTTGTCCATTTTTGGTCTGAAAAGCGTACTAAATATCCTGCCCGCCATTTCAACCTTTGAGCGTGATGGAGAACGTCTACCACTTCTGTCTTGTTCCTTAATTCAGAGTTACTTACACTGTCTTTCAATTTTATGTTAAGAATTATCCTTTCCATTGGTCTTTGACATTTCGCGATCTTGTCATAGTTGTGTTTATTAAATATCCATGTTTGGATCCATAAGTATTGGCATGGCAGTATACAAGAGTCTATTATCTCCTTTTTCAGATGTATAGGTAGAGTCGATTTTTGGATCTCTTTATAGGACCAAAATTTGCCCCAACTTGTTATTATTCTTCGTTGGATTTCGTCAACATGTCTCGTTCTTTTGAATGATATTAATTTACCGAGATACACATATTTGTCTACATGTTCTAATCGAATTTTGTTCACAATTATAGGTATCTGGGTTCTATTCGTCATTACTTTGGTTTTAATAGTGTTTAGTTCTAGGCCTACATTTTGACTGGCGTTGTTTACCTCGCTTACCATTGACTCTATCTGTTTTGTTGACTCGGAAAATATTACTATATCATCTGCAAATCTTAGATGAGTAAGGTAATTTCTTTTTATGTTTATACCCTTATTTATCCATTTTAAGCCTGATGAGTTCCAATACTGCTATAAAGATTTTTGGTGAAAGTGGATCTCCTTGCTTCACTCCTCTTTTTATTGGGAAGGCCGGGCCGATTCGTAATAATTTGACTCTACTCTCAGGTCACAAAGTTCCGCGTTCCACATAATAAACTAAGATTCTTTCGTACGATATTAACAGGCCACACAAGCAAATGAAATATTGCAAATGCGCTTCAAAATGCAATCACTATACAAGTTGACGTAAATTACTTGCAAACAAAGGTAAGTTAATTTAATCATTCAACACTTAGACCGGCATCGTTACCGCGTAAATGCACTAAAATGATAACTCAAAATAGAAGCGATCTTAAAGTGACCTCACGAGTCTAGCGAAGAACCGGCGTCCGCGCAAACAATCTATTTTTCTAGACTCAACAAAACTCCTCGTCGTTGCATAAATTTGCTAACAAAATCCGACACTATTTAGAGGTTATACGGTACGCGACCACGCCGTTCTAGTGACTGCGCTGCATTGTTTTAACTTCCGACGCACCATAACTACTCAAACTCTAGACCATCACAACCGAACCCGCCGCGCGCCACCGATCCAGCGTTCGCAAAAAATACAACTAGTCGACAGAGCCGCCGCGGTCAAGCTACTGTCGCTAGCCCACGAGGCTGAACGCCGAGAAGCGGCATACCGCCCCCCCCCACCCCCCGGCGGCGTTCACGTCACCTCACACCATCTGGCGATGCTCTGAGTCAACGCTATTATATATTATATTAAGGAGAAAAGCCGAGACCCATAGTTATAACCCTTACAACCATGAGTAAAAAAATTGAATTGTTTAAAACCGTCGAACTCTTGAAAAAACTTTATATTAAATTAAAGAAGATTTTACACCAAAAATATTAAAAAGTAGAAAATTACTAATTCCAGAACTCAGACAAAAGATTGAACAAGGAGAAAAGCTATATTAAAATACGACAAAATTGTCATTTTAAAAAATAAACAAGAACAGACAAACAGCACATATCAACCCAGTAACAAAAGAAATCTGTCCACATCCCCAGAAGAGCGTACTTCATTAGAAGATCAAAATAAATTCACTAAACAAATGCACAATATATTACGAAATCATCAAGAAATAACCCTTCTATGCCACACAATAAAAATAACTATAAATGGCAATTCGTGACAACCTCTCTACACAATCCAATACGGCTTTCACCGCGAAAAAATACGACTACAACCCTCCAGAGCAAAAAATATATGTATGCACCTATAATGCAAGGTCATTATTATCAGATGATATATATATATATATATATATATATATATATATATACATATATTTATATATATATATATATATATATATACATATTTATATAGTAGCATTCTTTGAATGAGGTTGATCGCAGGTGTCCATAAGCTGGAGTAGCCAATCAGGTGGACTGCAAGTTCATTTGTCACTTCAATTTTGCAAAAAAAAAACACTGCTGATCGTGATTAAACTGTTTTCTAGTCAAGAAAAATTGATAATTTATATTTTTTCAAACTCAAACTCAAACTTTTATTGCTAAACCATAATGTACACAAGATGTTATAAAATAATATTTAGTATATAGATTATAATATAAGCAATGCGACTATAAGTAATCGGTTAGACTATTATTCTGTCGTTTGCGCCTCGTTTGTCAGTCAGTATGGTGCACCACGTGTAGGCGAGTTCACATTTGGAAAGTAGGTTATAGTACTCCCCTCACACTTGATATTATATTCAGTTCAGTTTCAAATACTCTTTTAGAAATAATGAAATTGAAAATAACACATAAGGGAAAGTTGTTAAATAAATCACTACACTATAAACTTTTACGCCTTTCATCCAGATTTATAGGTTAAGGTTACGGATTGCCATTTGGCACAGTACTGATACACTTCTCCCGCATGTTTCACGCTTGTCGTTAATTTGGCCCTTCTTTAATATATTGCCAGTTTGGTCGATAAGCTTCTTCTAGGGTTATAGTGTCTCTTTCCGACTCTGCCACTATATGCATGCGGTAAGCGAAGTGTAGAGCAGCCCCCACTAGGTGCTTTGTGACATTTCTAAGGGGAGATCTATGGTCAGCAGTGGAGTTGTGAAGGGTTGTAACGAAGATGATGACGTGTATAAACCGCCGAAGAGCTTACTCCTATTCTCAATATCTAGAATACAAATTTCTCTCCTATCACGTCGTTTCTCACCCTATCAATTCAATACCAAACATTAATTTCACTCTTAAAAATTTTATTGGTGGTATAAATATAATATATCTTCCTTCTTAAATAAAAATTTTGTTTGTCGAATGTCATTTTAAAAATTGTACTACATTTTTAAAAGGAGATTTTTTAAAATGGCGATTGAAACGGCGAAAAGGACTCCACTTAGATCCCGTTTTATGTGATTTTAATAGTTAACCCTTTCAGCGCCAGAATATTTTGGTATGTTTTTGCTGTATGCCGCCATACATATAAGCAGCTACGAGATAAATCGTACTTGGCATAGTAGAACATAAATCCATTCGACTATGCCGACTACGAGTATATTCGTATACGGCTATACTCGTAGTCGACAAAGAAAATGGTATTCTTTCGTAATTTTGCGGGAAAACAGGAAGCAGCACGACAGGTTGCTTCGTGTTCGGGAGCTAGACACAAACTAACAGTGCAACTTGTTTCGGCTGGTTAGGGGGCGTGGCTTCTGACCGAGTGGTGGCGTGTGAGTGACATTATTCAGTTTAGCTACGTAATGCAAAGGATGCGCTGTCGTAACAAGTAATTATCTGCATAAAAAATGGCTAAGCGATTAAGTGAACAAGAAATATCTGATTTAGCGAATTGTGATAGTAGTGACGAGAGTGGTGATGACTTCTCTTCGACAGATGAAGACGAATTGTATGTGCAACCTGATACATGCGCTGATAGTTCGTTTTCGGAGCGCGAACATTCTGTGTCTCGTTCAAACGCACAAGCTACACAACAAGCTATTACATTGCGATCCAATACTATTCAATCTTCTTCTTCATTAGATAGTAGTGGTGCTCCAGATACGTCTAACTCAGAACTTCAGCCAAGTTCAGAAGAAAATGTCCCTTTAGTAGGAGAAAACGAGAGTAATGAATGTATAGATATGCCCTGGGAAATTTCAGACTTCCCGTTTTTGGGTCCTGAGCCAGGTGCGAAGATAGCTACTAATAAGAGCACATCTCCTTCTATGTATGCTGATTTGTTTTTCAACGACGAATTCTTGGAACATTTAGTTACGGAAACTAACCGTTACGCCACCCAAGTGCTTTCAACGCGTCGTTTGCGACGTTCGTCAAGATTGAAAGAATGGAGAGAAACGAATAAAGCCGAGATGAAGGTATTTATTGCTATTTTTTACATATGGGTATCTTGCAATTACCTCAAAAACCACTATACTGGAGTAAGCATAAGTTATATGACATTCCGCTTTTTAGAAGTTTGATGAGCCGTAATAGATTCAAGATACTATTCAGATTTTTCCACTTTTCAAACAACGAAGAAGTTGATGAAAGTGACCGTATTTACAAAATAAGATTTTTGATAGACCATTTCAACAAATTGATGCAAGATATTTGTGCCCCGAATAAAGATTTATGCATAGATGAATCTGTAATGTCCACGCGACTTGTATATAAATGTCAATTGTAATTAATACATGGTAGTGTAATTAAAGTACTAGACGGAACAGCACAACTTTCTCTCAATTGATACCTTCCGACATTACATGGCGACCCTGCCAGGCAGTGCGCTGCTACAATGCACGCGCACCGCCGTACCGGGGCTATAAGGCGAGAAATTTATTTTACAAAAAAAGATGTAAATCATCATGGTGTCACTTGTAAATATTATTAAATAATATACATTATAATGATAAAATGGACGCAATACCGGATTTGAGATAAAAACTATAATATGACAAAGGCGAGAAGAAGAGACCACAATAATATTTTTTTAGAAGCTGACTGAAAAATTAAAAATGGCAGATTAATTGAACAGTTCCCTGTTTTCCCCAGCAGCGATTGTATCCTAGCAAGTATAACCCAGAAGAATGCGAATATTGAGCCGAAAAGAACAGACAATAAATTAAGAGGTAACTTCGTATCTGTGTGATTTTAAATTCTATTGAAAACTTTAATAATTATAGAATTTTTTAATATTGATTTTGCTATTTAGTTTAAAAAAATGTATTAAATGTTCTATATTTGACATATGATTCAGTTGAAATGATTTATAATTTATTTCACGATACAATTGATTTTTCAATATTTTTATTATTATTTCTTAAAAAAAGCAGTCCTAATACAATATTAAAAATTAAGTTACATTTTAAGCACTTATGTGGCATTTGTATTAAAGCACAAGACAATTTTATATTCACTTTTATTCAGTTATAAATGACATAATATGATACATTGCATTTTTACATACTTAAATTTACCATATCAATAAAATTTTCATATTTTCTAGTTCTTACAAATCAGTTATAGATTCCGTTGTAGTTTTTTTCGGTAGCAAAGGAGACGGCTCACTTCTGCCCCAAGTCGTTTCAAGTTTATGTACTTAATTAGCCCCGGAGACCTAAAAAAGTTATTTAATTAAAATATCATATAATTAAATAATGAAAACTGTACATTCGATACTAAAGTGTCAAGCGGGGATTGTAAATTGGTGTGATTAGAAAGTACTTAAAGTCAGCCATGTTTTTTCTCTTTTTTTTTCTTCTGTTGAAGTTTATGTAAAGTGAACATGCTTGTGTCCTTTTGCCTTAGCGAGTTTGCTTTATTGGGTATGGTAGTAATCTGGGCTTCTTTTTAGGAAGAAGGAAAAATTCCGGACGATATAGAATAATAAAAGATGGATTTCATAAAAGGAGTCAAGATATTGATAATAGGAATAATCATTTTACGACTAATGCAGTCTCTACCAATGACATTAGAATTGACTAAAAATAAATGCAGGATTGTCAGATTTGGGTAAAGCTGAAATTTAGTTTTCGTTTGTATTGTTATGACATCATCTTTGTCACAAGAAGAAGAGAGACGCTGATTAAAATATTGTACTACTACTTTGACTCGCTTTTCCAGCTCCAAGAGACTTAAGAAATTTTCACACTCTGCCGGTATCATCTTCATTGATTATAGATTTATGAATAAAGCGTCGTTGTTTATCTCGAATATTTTTTATTTATCTCTATTGATATCAGAGTATCACAGAGAAATGTATACCTAGCTTGAGCAAACTTTTTCGTAAGTCAGGGAGCAGGTAAATGCTTAATCCCGACCGGCCGAATTGAAGCATGAACGTCGTAGAGTTGTGTTAAAAGAGAATTAAATCTGTGAACCTTTTCGTCAATGTTAGCTCCAGTAAGAACACGATTCCAGTCGATCATCGCAGCATCATCTCTTAGACGATCTAAATTCGTATCATCAAAATTACGCTGCAGAAGGATTCTCGACTTAGGTTTAGGTGGTCGTAATTTGTGTGATAAGTAAATTTATATTTATTGTATGATAAGTAACTCAAGTCGTGATATGAAAATGCATCAGCAGGAAACTAATCATGTTTATCAACATGATCAACAGAAGAAACAAGAATAAAGTTCAGAAAAGATGGGGAACAATTTGGAAAAAAGTGAGTAATAGAAAGAGGGAGAATATGTAAGTTAGCTGCTTGAGCGATAGATTTCAATCGAAAGGATCGCGAGTCACTTTTTAGAAATCACGTGTTAAAATCACCTATGATGATAGAGTGCTGATACAGTGGAATATATTTTTCTAAGAGATTTTCAAACGTAGAAAAGAAGTCACCTATAAGGCAAGGATTGTAAAACACGTCAAGTAGTAGCTTGGCATCAGAAAAAAAACTTCAATAATTAAATGTTCAGCTCCTGTATTGCCCTGGTCAGTTGACATTCTAATATTTGTAAATGGTAAGTGTGACCGAAGGTAGATAGCAACACCTCCACCAACCCGAATAATACGATCATTCCTTATTAGATAAAAGCCTGGAAGAGCATGTGATGTGGAGGACAAACAAGCCTTAAGCCAAGATTCGGATATCAAAATAGCATGTGTGTTTTTGTTATCATTTGAATCATTGCTCAAACAAAATGTAAAGGCTTGTTCAAATACTTTTAAATTCCATAGAGTACTGCCAAAAGATATCGTTAAATATTTTAAAACTATTGATGTTAAGAAAACTGCAGACTTATGGGGGATTTCCGTTAAAGTTATTTTATCTATAATAGATATATTAGCACCTTATCTAGCCACTATATTTAATATAAGCGTCGAATCTGGTGTGTTTCCTGATTTAATGAAACACAGTAAAGTCATAGCTATATTTAAATCTGGTAGTATATTAGACCCCGCCAATTTTAGACCAATTTTTGTACTACGAGTACCAACATTAAGTAAAATTTTTGAAAAAATTATTTTAGATCAGATGTTAAGTTTCTTTAATATTAATAAATTGCTTCATAAAAATCAATTCGGTTTTACAAGGGGTCGCTCGACAACTGACGCTGGAGTTGAGCTTATTAAACATATTTTTTGTGCATGGGAGAATTCAGTGGATGCTTTGGGTATATTTTGTGACCTTTTCAAGGCCTTCGACTGTGTTCACCATGAGACATTAATCAGGAAGCTACAGTACTATGGTGTCAAGAACACAGCGCTTAAACTTATTATTTCATATTTAAGTAATAGAAAACAGAAGGTTATTATCAATGGTAAAAGTTCTTCCGGGTCACCTGTACTAATGGGTGTTCCTCAGGGCTCGATTCTCGGGCCATTCCTGTTTCTGGTGTATATTAATGACTTACCTCACCTTGTAGGGGATAGTCATGATATAGTATTATTTGCTGATGATACTTCCTTGATTTTTAAACTTAAACGTCAATCATTTAAATGTGACGAATTGAATAATTCTATATCAAAATTAGTGCATTGGTTTAACGTTAATAATCTGCATTTGACCGGAAATAAAACTAATTGTGTTAAATTTACAACAACGAATGTTAAAAATCTGAATACCAATGTGTTCTTAAATGGGGAGGAATTGAGCCCTGTTGTATCCACTGTTTTTCTTGTTTTTCTGTTTTTCTGGCATCATTCTTGACGCAAAGCTCCAGTGGGGCCCCCATATATCCAAATTAGCAAGCAGACTAAGTTCTGCAGCCTATGCTGTAAAAAAGATTAGAGGTCTCACTAGTGTCGAGACAGCTAGATTAGTTTATTTTAGTTATTTCCATAGCATAATGTCTTATGGGATTTTGCTATGGGGAAATGCGGCTGATTCAGAAACTATTTTTGTTTTACAGAAGAGAGCCATTAGAGCTATTTACAATCTAAAACCGAGAGAGTCTCTTAGAGATAAATTTAAAGAAATAAATATATTAACTTTGGCCTCTCAGTATATTTACGAAAATTTAATGTATGTTCACAAAAACAAAGATAGTTTTAGTAAAAAAAGTGATATACATTCTGTAAACACTAGGAAAAAACACAAGCTAGTGATGCCAGTTTCTCGACTCCACAGAGTCAGTAATTCATTCTTGGGGCAATGTATACGCTATTACAACAAGGTCCCGGAAAGTGTACAGGTTCTCTCTATTACCAAGTTTAAATGTTTTATTAAGCTGAAACTGTATAAAAAGGGTTATTATAGTATAAATGAATACATGGTTGATAATAACCCCTGGGAATGAGGTGGTCGCTTCCAAGCAGTTTCTAAAATAAAATTTGTAAATAGTTCGTAATCATTTATATTGTAAAATTTATTTAAAAAAAAAAAGTCCCGCTGGGTTTCTTGCTGGTTCTTCCCAGGACAGAGGGTTTTTTTCGAACCAGTGGTAAAGTAAAAAATGACTTTCAATAAGAATTACACATGTAATGTATATTGAATTAAAAATATTCTATTCTATTCTATTCTATCAAATGAGGAGAACATGTCTAGATAATGTGCTGAAATGATCTGGGCATTAATATGGATAATGTTGAAATTTTTCAGTAGATCTGAGAAGTGCAAATCTAATGTTGGATTAAGAGAAGGAAGACTGTAGAAACTATTACTACTATTCAATCTCTCAGAGGTAGAAGGTGAAAAAAATGAGTCGTCTAGGCTTACATCTTGAAAAGATATATTGTAAAGTAGCTGTACCCGCGGCGTTGCTCGCGTATATAGGTTCTACTTAAAGAATTTGAAGCTTAAGTAAGAGAACATTAAATAATTTATATCATTACTGCATCAATAAATGGTAACAAAATAAATCGTTATCCTCAAAGTTCTATGTCGTTTATGATAGAGCTTCTGTGTAAATGACGTTAGAAATAGACTTAGCCGGGGCGTACTCATAAAGGTTACAAGGGCTCGCATAACGCAGGCTGACTGGGAACTGAACACGCTTAAAATTAAAAATAAAACCGAAAGGAAAGTAATTTT